TTGGCCATCACTAAAGGTATTACAGAACCCCTCATCATCAAGTCTACCTGCAGAAATTAAATTCAAACAGATGTCAGGGACATATTTCACATCATTGAGAAGTAACCTTATACCAGTATTGGTTTCCAAGCAAACATCTCATATGCCAACAACTTTGGCCAAATCATCATTGCCCATCGTTACAACCCAAAGTCACCGGGTGTATACGATGTGAAGAAGTCCTTCTGAGATGTAGCATGAATGGAAGCACCACTGTCAATCACCCAACTTGTCTCATGGCATGCAAGGTTAATAGCATCAGTATCATATACAATGAGAAAATTCCCGTTAGTGGTGGCAACTCGATCGTCATCACTGTCATCATCTTTCTTCTTTTCTTTATTTTTTTCCTTTTTATTCTTTTTTCAACTTCTGACAGTACTTATTGGTATAGCCCTTTAGACCACAATGATAACACTCAACATTTACAAACCTGTTGATTTACCTCTGCTCTTTTATCTATTCTTCGAACCTCGGCTCTTACTCCTCTCCCTTTTGTCGGTGACTAAAGCATCTGATTGTGAAGAGGAACCCTGTGGCTTTCTTCTCATCTCTTCATTCAGAACACTACTCTTAGCCAAATATATTGAAATTATACCATCTGGAGTTGAGTTAGCTAATGACGTCCTAAACGTCTCCCATGAGTCCGGCAAAGTACCAAGAAGTCATAATCCATGTATCTCTTCATCAAACTTGATATCCATTGTGGACAACTGAATAATTATTCTCGGACTTTGGAACAAACAATTGCTCGAGCTTGGACCATAAAGTGCATGCATGTGTCTCTCCACTAATATGGTTCAACACATTATCATCCATCCACTGGCTAATGCACCCACACACTTTCCGATGAAATATATTTCATTCCCCATCCTGTCTTGTTATAGGGTTTCTCACTAGCAAACACCGGTATATAATAATCTTTCACATAAAGAAGGTCCTCCATTTTTCCTTTCACAGCATGATAATTTGAACCATTTAAAGTAATCATTCTACTTGTATTAGTTTCCATTGTTCAATCCAAGATAAATAATTCAGCAATCACAAAGCTTAAATTTAGCAACCGCAATGCTCTGGTACTACTTTGTTGGGGAGAAAGACAAACCGAATGATACCCGATCAACAAGCACAACAAAACAAAACAATTCTTTCCCCCTTGAGTGAACCTAATAGGAAGCAATCAAGTAGATAGCAATATATCGAACACATTAAACGTAATTATTAAAGCAATTATTAAGCTCCCAAATCAACAACCAAATACACCACATACACACACATAAACACCATGAATTTTTACGTGGAAAACCTCCCCAAAGTAATGAGTAAAAACCACAGGACCGTAGTCCACTTTAAGCTTCCACTATCACCAAATAATGGGAATACACAATAATCTTCTCTAGTTAAAACTAGAGGCATACAACAATACCAATCATTAAGAACAATAGATTCTTGGCAAATATCATAAACAAGATTAACTCCAAAAAGAGAAAATTAAAGAGATCTCACCAAAATAGAGGTAGCAAAGACGGCTCTGTAAAACTGAGTTAGAGGACTCCAAACCTCAATCACATCATTCAAAATGAAGAACCATGTGTTGCGAACTTGATGTCAAAATTTCAGGTCGATCAGACCACGAATGGCTATCCAATCGAGCTCTTGATGAAGACTGCGCAGGGCCTCAAAACCCAGAATGTTTTCCTCTCCTCTCTTCTCTATCTTCTAATCTCACTTGTTGAAAACGAATGAGCAAAACGCTCATTTAACATATAATAGGCAAAATAACTGAAATGCCCTTACTCCATATGGGATTTACTTCATATGAGCTTCACCAAAAAAGGATGAACTTTGGGCCATCCTCCACATGGAGGGAAACCCAATATGGGCTTCACCCCAAAAGGATGAACTTTGGGCTATCCTCCACATGGAGGGAAACCCAACCCAACACAGTCCTTACTCCCCCATGACCTTTTTATAGTTTAGGAAAAGTATACAAAGAGACCATGGACTTTATGTATAAAGAGGTCATAATTACCCTTTCTATCATATTTCAAATCGTGTAGTTGTGAGAGTGTCATTCATTAAATACAAAATTTCAAAAAAAATTTCTTAAACTTAGTGACCTACCCCAAGCCATCCAATTTGACATCTAATGTCTTGAAGTGATTGTGACCACCTTACAATGAAGATAAATGGTCTTATAGTATACAATCCCATTTAGTTATCGCCTCCCCATTCCTTCACTTTATGCACGAAGTAGGGCTTTTTTAGCCTCCCATTGTACTTCAAAATGAAATGGCATCGAATAAAAAGGAGCCTGAAGAACAATGGCAAGCTTTGATAAAAAGAGTCTGGTTTCTATAGAGCCAAGGCTCTAAACAATCAAAGTAGAGCGCACCATCAAATAGTGTCAAGAAATGTGGTTTCAATATAGGAAATCTTTGTGATAGCTTTAAAATATATTTTCATATCTAATTATAAGATTCAAAGCTTCAAAAATAGTATATATTGAGCAGATCTATGAAAATTTAAAATTTTTGAAAATTGACTATCCAAAAATGCATTGCTAGATACACTATTTCCAAAACTTAAAATTCATTTTTTCTCATGTCCATGCATCTTGATCTCGAGATGATAATTTAAAGATATTTGGGTATCAAAGCAACCTCTTCTAGTGAAATTTTTGAGGTGGGCTCTAATTTGATTGTTTAGAGCCTCGACTTTATATAAACTTCTTCCTTGATAAAAATGCCATCTCTCAATTGCCCACAGTAATTTGCTCACAAAAATAAGACATGAGGAAAACATCACCATATAGAATGCCATGGAAGAATCGTGAATATTTGTCTGGGTACACTAATCCCAACTCAAATATGCCAAACAGTCTATTCTATACCCCACTCATCTTCTTCACTCTCTCTTTCTATTCTCTCTCCAAATTCTTACAAAAATAAGACCATACGAAAAGAATTACCATTTGCTGTTGACAAACAACTTTTAGAACCAGTAATCAAATATTATATAGTTGAAAGCTTACTTACGCATGTATAAAGTATACCCGCTCTTAGTTGTCCGATCTGAGTAGATGGTTTCTCATATCTTTTCCTCCTATGCCTCCAAAAACCTTCTCAACTCACCTCCCATCTTCCACGTCTCTCGTCCCCAGCACTGTATCGTCTCCATCATCTCCCACTACCCTGTTCTACCCTCCTTCTCTCTTTCTCATAAAAACTCCGTTTTTTCCTGGGGCGCATATAATTACACAGCCCCTATCGACGAGGACGGCGTTACAGCCCCATCGACGCAGCCCCCATCGATGAGGACGGCATCACAGCCCCATCGACGAGGACGGCGTCACATGAATGGTTATTAGAGTACCAGATCTTGATATGGCGATTCTTAGTGTTTATTTTTATTACTTATTCTATAAATTATTTTTGTTTTGAACTTTGGAGTATGCATGCATCTAACAATGGCGCATATGATAAGAATAAAAAAAAAAAAGTATTTCCCTTACTTCAAAAGAGCCAAAATACCTCTAAAAATTTGGGAGGTATTTTGCTCATTCATTTTGAAGGAATTTTTTTTGGCTAAGTGTGCTCATAGATGAAGATGGGCCAACCTCTCACTTAAAAATGTTTTGTATGTGGGTGGGGTCACACGGAAAACTTTTACATCATATAATCCAAGAACATATGTAATCCAAATTGGACTTCCAAAGTACAAAAAAAATATTGAATTAATTAATTAAGCAGGATTTCCAACCACGTTGATCACTCACCTTCACACGCATCCAGAAAGAACACAACATACATTCAAATATTCACATACTTTTGTAAGATAATAAAAATTTACAATGAATTACTCCCATTTTTTCTTAAAAACCTAAAAGCATAATTTTTAATAATTTTTAATGATTTTTTTAAAAAACAAAATTTGGCCTGGTTGGGCCGATCTGTTTTATCCAAATTTAAAAAGACTAAAAACATTAAATGATTATATTTAAAAGAAAAATTGATTGTTGAGTTTTTTTAACACTTATATCTCACCCTTAAAAAAAATGGATTGTTTCAATTCAGTCTTTAAGCATTATTTCTAGAAGACCATGCAAAACGCAAAATGAAATCCGGAGATGCATCTGCAGAGGTAAAGTGCACCTTCAAATTTTATCACGGTACATAATTTTGATGGAAAATATTTTTAGGATTATCTCAAAATCTATTTTTATATCTAATTATAAAATTTTAAATTTTAAAAATGGTTAAAATCAAGTAGATCTATAAACATATGAAAATCTTGAAAATGGACGGTGTACTATATGTTGTAAAATGTACTATTTATGAGACTTAAAATCTTTTTATTTTTCATGGTCATACACCCACCTCGATGTCAAGATGATCAATCAAAGGGTTTTTCAACATTAAAACTACTTCTTTCGATGGATTTTTGAGGTGCATCCATAGTTCTACTTTATAAAATTGCATCCATATATAACCTTTCTCCTTTTTTTTATTTAATACAGAATCACACAGATAGACTTCCTACACCTGTCGAAGTATACTATCAATTTACTTCCTCGGCACAACGCATAGGGGACTTTTTTATCTCAAATTTTGGTGATATAATCTCAACAACATATAAAAATAAACTAAGAAATATTTCGGCAATAAACTCTCCAAGTACTAAAAAAATAAATACCTCAAGATTGAATAGACGTCAAATTTTTTAAGGGACAGGTGCACCAGACTCAAAATAATAATTCTCTCTCTTGAAAATAATCATTTAGTCACATACTTATGTGGTTCCAAAAATTTTAGAAAAAAAAAATCTTCGTAAATATGTGTTTTGAGCAAGGGATTAGAAGCCCAGTGCAGGAGTATACTGTAGGCAAGCGGGTTGAAGAGGTTACATCCAAAATTTGAGGTCCTCTTGAATTCACTTTCTTACCTTATTTGAGCATGCAATTGACAATGAAAGAGTCTGAAATTTTTATTAACTTCAACTTCTCATTACACCTTAGTCCGTAACAAAATTGTGAAGAAAGATGGACGAAGTCTGGAGAGCTAACCTTATTAAAAGAACTAAAGAATAAAATCAGGGTTATTTGGAGAGAGATTTTGGTCTTCTTCCTTCTATCTCTGTGAATGTACATGGAGTGAGAGGCCGCCTTGGGTGCTTGACATCGGGTGCTTGAAATGAGCCATGAGCATCAATTGATATCGAATAGTTTGAGCTCGTTGTCAGATACTTTCTCCATGGACTGGGTCTCCTTCAAGGATGATTCAGAGCTGCAATGCCAACTTTCATCATAAATCTATCTATGCACAATAGACACAGAATTGTGAATGTGTGCGTGATATTAATTAAATAATTTGTATATGAAATCGCAATCTCTCAAAATGTTTCTTTTCATTGATTTTTCAAGTTTTTTTTTTTTTATTCTCTTCTTTCTTCTTCCTCTTGTATTAAGAACAAAAACCCATTCTTTTAAGTACTATTTAATTATACAGAAATGGCATCCAGGATTTCACTTAGTCTGAGTATGCGTCACACCATTCGTTTCCGTAACCTTTATCTCTTGAATTTGATAAGATAGTTACTTCCTAATCTCTGTAATTTGACAAGAATATAAGACACTCCTAATATAAACCTATTTCAAATTGTTGCTCTTTGCTTCATTTAGATTTCCTTTTCTTTACCTGTGACGAGTTTATAAAAATACACGTAGAAATTGAACTACACTTAAAAATTGAACTACGTAACTTCTTATCTCAGGAGTAATTGGATAAATTACCCTTTTTTATGTATCATTTGTATATGGAAGTTGATCAAAAGAATGATGCACTATTTAGAATAGAAAAAACAATACAAAAATGCTAAAAGATTTAAATAATTAAAATATTGGGTATAGTTTGAGAAATTTAGCGGAAAGAATCCCTGTTATTGGTTCACCGATTTTGTTTCAGTCTATCTGTGTGTGTGTTTCTGAAATTTGAAAAGTCAGTCTATCTCTGTGTATGTTTCTGAAATTTGAAATACCTTGATTCATGCCCACCTCCCTTTGAATCCACATAAGACTGTCTATCATCCACTCCCTCGAAAAATGGGCTTATTACATCATACTCCACCCCTCCTCCACCCTGCCCCACCTCATTCAACCCTCCACCTCCTCCACCATACACCATACCCCCACCATTCACCACCCCGCCACTGCCTCCATGCACAACCCAACTCGGATTATAACCCATGCCGCCACCACCATGGTGCACTGACATCCCACCCATGGGCTGCACCATCTGCAAAGACGAGCCCTGCCCGACCACCATGGAGCCGTGATGCTCCTGTTGCTGTTGTTGTTGACAAAGTGCTAAACAACGCACTAACTCGTCTCTTTCCTGCATTGCCATTTCGATCTGTTTATGGAGGGCGTGGATAATTCCCATACAACCATGAGCAGGGTACCTCTCTCGCGCATTTGCCTCGTACATGATGGATTTCATCGCCTCTGATTTCTGGGCTGGGTTGAGCTGCTCCAAGATTTTGAGAATCTTCCTTACGCCGAAGAGGCGATGAGCATTTTGGAACTGTTTCAATTGATCGGGTGGGAAATAAGGAGCGAGAGGACAATCTGCAGAGCACTTTCGGCGCTGGTACTTGCATGATGCGCATGCCTGTCCGGTGCCGCTAGCCTTTCCAGCCATCTTCCACCTGAGAAAATGGAAATGTGGGTTAGTGATCTTCTCTCTGACGATGGTCATCCAAGAAAGAGAGTAAAAACGATTGGAAGTTCATTTAGCGAGAGAGAAGATAAATCGATTCATTTTTGAGAGAGAAACAGAAAAGACTCATTCCGATTTTCAATTCAGGCGAGCAACAGAACTAAATAGAACAAAATAAAATTGATCAATTCAAGAGATAGAGGGGAGGGGAGGGGAGGGGAGGGTCAAGAAGAGGGAAAAAAAAAGCATCCATTAGAGAGAGTGCAAAACTGCAAAAGGAAGAATATCAGTTTAAAGAGAGAAGGACAAGGAGCGAGGGCTTTACATGCCCTGTTTCTTGGGCCTAATCTTGTATCTTCTAATCTCACTTGCAGGACAAAATTGACGCTATTTAATTGCAGGAGAAATGCTTCTGAAATTGATGCTATTTAATTGCAAGAGAAATGCTTCAGAAATTGATGCTAATTATTTTGAATTACAATGTTTTGCTACTGGCGGTTGATCTCTCATTCTTTCAATAAAAAGGGGGTTATGTTACAGAGAGGATGAGAGGTGGGTTTTGTGCTGCCGTAATGCTGCTTTATATACCCTTATACCGAGAATGATTCAAATGGTTACTGCGCACGTACACCAGATAGAAAGAAAGCGTTAGGAGGAGATGGATAAAAAATCAAAACAGATACGAGAAGGGAACTTGGCGGTTACCTCAGTTACGGATTTAACGGTGAGGATTACTGGTTTTGGCGTGTTCCCATTTTCTTTACACCAAAATTTTAAAAAATCGAAAGGTGGTATCTGGGTAGTTACGACGCCAACGCGCTGGGCGTCGCACCTTCATTCTCTCTCCACAACAACAAGCATTCTCTCTCTCTCTCTAAAAATAACTCCACTCTTTATTCTCTCTCTAAAATAACAAGTATTTAGAGAGAGAGGATCTGCGCCTCACACGTGCTCATCGCATCATTGACTTGCGAGGTTCCGTTTGATGCGCGTATTGAATTGAAGCAGTCAGTGATTCCAAGGGAGTGGATACGCCGCTTCCATTTCCCAACAACGCACTCTCCCTCTTTCTCCACCTCACCTAACTGCCTTCCCTTCCCTTCCCTTCCCTTCCCAGGCTTTCCTATTTTTACCTCGCCTCTCACCTATTTTTAACCGCTTTCCAAGCCCTTCTCAAATTTACCCGGAAAAGATAGAAAAAAAAAAAAAAAACCCTTTTTCAAAACTCTTTCTCAATTTCCTTTTGAGTGCGGTTTCTATAGAGCCGAGGCTCTAAACAATCAAAGTAAAACACATCTTTAAATAGTGTCGAGAAATGTCGTTTCAATATTGAAAATCTTTGTGATAGCCTTAAAATATATTTTTCTTTTTAATTATAAAATTTAAAGCTTAAAAAATAATATAGATCACGTAGATCTATTAAAATCTTGAAAATTGACCGTCCAAACATGCATTATAAACTGCAGTATTTCCAAAACTTGAAATCATGTTTTTTTCTTACATCCATGCATCTTGATGTCCAGATGATCAATTTGAAGATGTTTGGGCATCAAAATAACCTCTTCTAGTTAAATTATTTAGGTGAGCTCTAATTTGATTGTTTAAAGGCTCAGCTCTAATTTTTTTAAGTAAGTATGGGCTTCATTAAGATTACAAAAATTACAATAACAGCTAAAAGAACAAGGAAGAGAAGGACTGTCCACAAGAGAGCATGAGGGAAATGAACGATGGGATATAGAAAAAAAGGTTCTACATGAGCTTTTTCATTTTTTTTTTAATATTTTTGCTAGTGGCATACCAAAATGTCTGGAATATGTGGACGATAGAAGAGATTTTATTCTAGAAGCTCAAACTTGAAAAGAAATTTTTTTTTAACTTTATAACACACCCAAACTATCATATTTCTTATTGATTGTAAGTAATTATGACTACCTTGTATGAAAGGTAACCGGTCTCATTGTATACATTCCGCGTTTTGGGTAAGTGACAAGTAGCACTTTACAAGGTTGGAGGAAAAAAATACATGAAAGTATAGAATGAGTCCATTACGTTTGGTATGAGGTGGTCACATTAATCTTGAATATGTGCAATTGGGTTGGGTGGCAGCAATTATTCCTTTGACTAAGCTCAAATTTCAATAGAAATTTTCTCAAATTTTGTGACATATCGAAGCTATCAAATTTCACATCGCATGGTTGTAAGTAAATGAGACCATCTTACATAAAAAGTATATGGTTTCATTGTATACAATCTCAAAATATATATTTAACAATATTCCAATTTTAATTTTGGGAAATCTTTCATACAAGATTGGAAGAATTTATGAAATTACCCTTTCATCTATATGTTCACGAATTTTACGGTAAGGTCCTTTTTTGTATTTTTTTTTTTTTTTTCCGGTTTTGCCTTGAGTATGATGTTTCAAACATTGAATTGCTTCTTTTTTTTTTTTCTTTTTCTTTTGGCATTTATGAGATAATATGATGGATAAGATATCAATTTGCTCTATTTCTAAGGTAGTTTGATAATGGCAATATTGAATTGCTTTATGATCTAGTCTATCCTTTTATTGTTGAAAAACTTGAGAGAAGAGATGGACCCACTCCTAGGATTAAGGGCAGTGTCGTGAGACTATCGATCGCAAAGATCAGCCTTTTACCCGAACTGTGAGAACTTTGTAAATTTCTGTGTACCTCTCCATGGCCATAAAACCCTTCTTAAAGAGGGATGAAGGATGTCGTTCTCTAACGTTCGGCTTCCTCCTGAAATCTCTGAAAAAAAATCATCCTGTAATCTTAGGAAGTGGGTGGTTACTTTCTAGCTGTTAAAGAACGACACTTTCTCTCTCTAAGAAGCCTCCCTTTTTAGTGATAATTATTAAATTATAAGAGAGAGAAATATTGGATGTTTAAAGGCCCCATGGCCCACACACATACCAATATCCCCCACTTGGCCATGACGGCCAGATATATTGAAATGTCATAAAGTCTTTACCACTTAATAAATTTAACATTTATGTGCATATTTTTGTTATGAGGCTTTCACGCAAGTGCGGTTATACATCTCATAACAAAAAATATCCAAAGCCATGTCAAGGTTTTTCACGTTAATGTCGTGTTTCCTCTCATGACCAAGACATAAAAAAAATATCTCATTTGGGAGTTCCTGACTTAAATATTTCTAAGTTCCATCAAAGCTACGTGCTTTGATAATATTTTTGCACTCAATCCCTTTGTTAAAGGGTCTGCAATCATATCTGAAGGTGGCAAATAACTTACAGTTATTTTATTCTTTCCAATAATATCATAAATACAATGATAATCAATTTCAATGTCCTTACCCTTGGAACTATAAGCGTCATTTCTAATTGATAAAATAGTAGCATGATTATTATAAAAAAATTTAACCGGTCCATCGGCTATATCCAGCTTCAAATCATTTATGAAGCATTTAATCTAGACGACATAAGTTGTAGCAATGCTATAAACAATATACTTGGCTTCCATAATATACCGAGCTACACAACGTTGTTTCTTACTAGACCAGGAAACACATCCACCTCCAAAGAAGAATACAATTCCTGAGGTTGATTTTCTATCATCTGGGTCTCCTGCAAAATCTGCAGCAGAGTACCCAGTAATCTCTAAGTTGTCAGCTTGGAAGCACAACTTATAATTTTTAGTTTTTTGAATATATCTGAGTATCCTTTTTGTAGCTTGCCAATGAGCCATCCCAGGATTACTCTGAAATCTACTAACAAGACCATATGTATGACTCAAATTAGGTCTTGTACACAACATGACATAATTTATGTATCTTACAGTTTGAGCATATGGAATTCTTTCCATTTCAGCTTTGTCATTATCATTTAATGAACACATTTTCTTTGATAATTTCAAGCCTTTACAAACATGTGTATCTATTGGCTTGCAATTTTCCATCTTAAATCTCTTTAAAATACTTTCTAAATCATTTTCTTGAGATAAATGTAGAAGTCTTGAACTTCTATCTCTTGTTATCTTAATGCCCAATACATATGAGGCTTCTCCCATATCTTTCATCTTAAAATGGGAACTTAGCCATGATTTGGTATGGTTAATCATGCCAATATCATTATCGGCTATCAAAATATCATCCACATATAGTGACAATATAATAAAATTACTCATACTATTCCAGACATATACACAATGATCTAATTTATTGGCTATATAACCAATTTCAGTGATTGCATTATGAAAAGTAAAGTATCATTGCCTAGAAGACTGTTTTAGACAATATAAAGATTTCTCAAGTTTATATATTTTGTCTCTTTGGCCTTTAATTACATATCCTTATGTATATATCTTCTTTTAATTCTCCATTTAAGAAAGATGCTTTGACATCCATCTGAAATAATTCTTGATTATAATATGCAACTAATGCAATGATGATCCTAATAGATGAAAATTTGGCTACTGGAGAATAAGTTTCTACATAATATATGTCTTCCCTTTGGGTAAATCCTTTAGCTACTAACATAGCTTTATATTTATCAATGGATCCATTTGCATTAAGATTTTTCTTTAGGACCCATTTGCAACAGATAACTTTTCTATCTTTAGGGAGGTCAACCAACTCCCAGACTTGATTTATTTTAATAGAATCAAGTTCATCATCTATGACTTGAGTCCACTCAGCTGTGTCATACGAGCTAATAGCTTCACTGTAGCTTCGAGGTTCATCCATTGTATCCTCACTCATTGAAGAGTAATTATCTGCATTCATAAATACATAAAATTCTTCTAAAGTCGTAGGTGGGGCTATAGCTCTTTTAGGCCTATACGGTATACTTGATTCAATTGACTCACTCTCACCAAATGTAGGGGGAGTTTGAGAAACAGGGTCTTTCAGACCCTTATCTTTATCAATTTCATGTAAGTCAATAGGCTTATTTAAAATATTTTTATCATATATATTTTTTAAGAAATGAGCATCACGACTCTCTACTAATGATCTAGTATCATGGTTATAGAATCTATACCTTATAGAATTTTCTGAATAGCCTATAAAAGAGCATTTTATAGTTTTACTTTGTAATTTATCTATATTTTGTGGTGGTGTAAACACATGTGCCAAGAATGATAAGGTCAGGTTTCCTACCTGTCCATAATTCATATGGGGTCAAGTCTATAGATTTCACAATTAATGATATATATTGCAGTATTGAGAGCCTCACCCCAAAAATGAAATGATAAATTTGAATGGCTCATCATAGGCCTAACCATGTTCATTAGAGTTCTATTTATCCTTTCAGCTACACCATTTTGTTGTGGTGTATATGACATAGTTGTTTGGTGAATTATACCATGCTCCCTATAAAATTCAGAATATATATTCACCTCCTCTATCTGTTTAAAGAATTTTAATATGTCTACCTAACTGATTTTCTACCTCATCTTTATATTATTTAAATGTTTCTAATGCATCTGATTTCTTACTAATTAGGTATACATATCCATAACGTGAATAATCGTATATAAATGTTATGAAATAGTCCATACCTCTATATATTTTCACATTTGATGG